AAACAGCGTATGCTATTCTGTGTCAGCTGCGTCACGCGGATACATTGTTTTCGTTCAATTTAAGGCATAAACGACGTAGAAAACCTATCCGCATGACGCAGCTGACTCAGAATAGCATACGCTGTTTACGTTCAGTAGATACTCTCCAAAATGGCACCAGGGTGACGCGGAGGAGACTAATTGTTGAATAAAGTCGTTATTTTTGTTTTCTTTGCGTACAAAAAGTATTCTCGTAGCTTCGTAAAATTACGGTTGAACCCCTGATGTCACATGGATTATTTTACCGATGTCCTTGCTACGTTTCTGGACCTTGATCGTGGTAATTACATTGCTGTCTATGGGAGGGTCAGAGAGCTGTCAGAATTAATCAAAAATATCTTAATTTGTGTTCCGAAGATGAACGGAGGTCTTATGGGTTTAGAATGACATGAGGGTGAGTAATTAATGACAGAATTTTCATTTTTGGGTGAACTAACCCTTTAAACTGGATTGTGAGACTTGCATTTATTTTTTAGATCATTCTTGCACTATAGACCCTTTTCACAAGACTGAGATGATGCGTTTCAACGGTCATCAGCATCGTATTTTTTTTTTTTACAAATTATGTACATTTATAACACTATACTTTATATTATATTACCTTTGCATCAAATTACAAAAAACTAGTTAACGCTAATGTGAGGGTGTTTCTAATACAGCGTCTATGGGACTGACGGTAAATTTGACATCGCTCTCCTTACTGACTGCCGTTATCAGTCTCTCTCTATTTTTTTCCTTTTTTTTTTTTTTGGAAGTCATGAAAACACTATCATTGAGTTTTTCTTTTGCTATTTGAGCACATGGGAATGCAAAAAAATACATTTGTGGTAGTCTCCCATTCACGGCTATAGAAGTTTACCAAACTATGATGACTTCTGCTGCTGAGAAACCCAGAAATGTGAATTGCTAAATGCTAATAGTAAATGTTATGAAATAACTGTTCAGCTACATTTTACTGCTGAAAGCCACTACCAGAACATAACAAAAACAGAACGAGAAAGGCGTTTTCCAAAATTTTTTACAAACCGGAATCTCATACAGTAATTCTGACATGGTGTGAATGCATCTAATGTGCCCTTCAGTTGGAGTCTGAAATATAAATTAATTTAATAATAATTTTCTAATTAGGAGTTCCGAGTTGTGACGTTGGAAGGGACGAGTCAGGAGAGCAGTTGTGGCCTAATGGTTAGAGAGTTGGACTTGTAACCCAAAGGTTGCAGGTTTGATTCTCAATACGCTCAATATCCACAACTGAGGTGCCCTTGAGCAAGGCACCTAACCCCCTAACCTTCCAATATCTCTTCGGGTGCTGCAGCAAAAATGGCTGTCCAGTCCGGGTGTGGGTGTTCACTACTCCCTGCTCCCAATGTGTGTGCTTGAACCTGGATGGGTTAAATGCAGAGGACAAATTCTGAGTATGGGTTACCATACCAGTGACCATGTCACTTTAAACTTATTATTAGATATCTGTGTGGAAAAATAAAGGCTTTAGATATACAAAGACAGTGTACTCATAAATGGGAGAAAGTGCTTTGTGCAATATAGAGTAAATAAGTCCCGCGCAGTCATGCATTTGCCATTAGAGGCTCCGGTTGCCATAGAAACAGTCAGTGTCCTGAGATGCACACTTTAGGGCTACACGTGCATACTGACTGGTCCAGCCTGAACTATAAACTTTTTTATGCTGTTTGAGCATAATAAACAATATTTATGGGACAGTTTGTGTCACATTTTGTTACTGATTTGAAATGTTATTTTAGTTCATTTAGAAATAGCTGCCCAAAGGCGATGCAAATATGGCCGTCGAATGAACAGACTTTCCTTGAAAGGGACTTTAGTAAAAAAAACAAAAAACAAAAAAACAAGTCCGATGTGAATTAAAATCAGTGATTTTGCAAGTTATTTTAATTTTACATGCTATAAAATTTTCAATCATTTTAAAGGTGTGATGTACAGAACAGCTGATTGACAACAAGTTCACTTGACTTGCTATTTGCTTTATGTAACAAACATTTCATTTTGATAGCCTAAATACGATAGAAATTAATAATTTTAATAATTTTGAATTCATATGTATTGTTCACAATATAATTCTTTGGTTTTGTTTAGGCTACTGCCTATGTTTCTGACTTGACTGCGTGACATAACAAATGCCAGACTCTGAGGTATTTCTTTGGTGCACTTGAAGGCAGCATGAAGCCTTGTGCTAATAGCTGGATAACAGATATTTGGACTTCTGAACAACAGCACTCGTGCTCATGTGATATTGCTTAAATATACAATGAAATTCTCTGGTTATAGACTTTTCTGTTGAATGTGAGTTTGTGTTCTCTAGTTTTGGAAACTTAGCATGATTCTCTGTACATAGATGTAATGTCCTTACGTCATATTAATTAACAGTTTAGTGGAAGTCATCTGTTTTATGCTTTTTACTAGACAAGTGGAGTCCAGATGTAGAAGCATAAGTGTCTAAACTTTAAGAGAAGCTTCCAAGAAATGGGGTGATTGGCCCAGTCCCGGTCTGGATTGAATCAATGCTTGATAAATTATTTTGCCGCACCATTTTTCAACAACGTTGTTCACTGAAAGCCTTTTCAGAACAAAACTGGCACATAGCCTATATCACAGAGATGTTACATAACAGTTCAGCACATTGTATCAAACCCTAACTGAACAGTTTTCCCTATGTTGAATGCTTTAATGTTTCATCAAGCAAAAATAATGGCAAAGTTATTGGTCTTGACCCCTAGCGGCCATGACTATGTTCTTCTTTTATATTGGCTGGGAGAATCATTGGATTTTAATCATCCTGTAACTGGACAATTATATTACGTTTTTCAAAATGCGGATCTTCAATTATAAAGTATGGCATGTCTTGTTGAACAGCCTACTATATTTACTTGCATCTTGCAGCTGCAGACGTCCACAGATAAGACAAGATGAGCATGACAAGATGAGCATGCTCCAGTGGGAGAGAATAATGAAATCTCGCCTGCATGTTGACAGCAGGATATCAAGCAGGACAGCGGGCCTGTTTTGACAACATTTCTGAAGCCTGGGAAAAAATTGTTCTGTACAGAAGAGTAGGGTAAGCTATAAGGTAAACTGGAGAAATGTTGACATTGTGTGGGCACAGTGTTTTGTTTGAAATCAAAGTTTTTGGAAGTTTAACCAATAATAAAAAATAAGCATTCAATCAGACGTTCTGTACATCATGTGTTTGCTGTGTAATCTTAGTCACAACAAATCAGGACTGCATGATGAACATACAAAATGCACCATAGCAGTCAGCACTGCATGACAGACAGTGCTCAGGGACCATAACTCAGACTGAGATTTTTCCTTACAATTTAAACTGAGACCTAGCACAATCTTTTTCTGTTCTCCCTATCTTTACTCTGATGTGCATGTTATGCTCTCCCAGCTAGTTATAGGTGCCAAGACCTATGTATGTTCAAAACTTACAATGATTGGTCTGCACTCTAATGTTGTTGTTGTTAAATTTAAGTTAAAACAGGAGACCAGAGTTTTTATCTCCTGTTTAAACTAAATTCCTAAAGCCAGGGACACACTTAACGACTAACTGAATCATTCTAAGACTGAACTGAAAACACTTTTTAAATGCTTTTAAATGCTGACTGTAAACACCAACTAAACGCAAATGGCTCTGACACATTTGGGTGTGATCAGTTTTAAGTATCAAATTACATTCATAACCAGCCTTACAGTTGTGTAGTGTGTTCCTGGCTTAGCTAATTAACTAATTAACTTAACTAATCTCAGCTGGCAAGATGGCTGGTTCACATGTACCTGGCTAACACATGAACCTGACTAATGTGCTAACATGGGGCCAGGCCACAGTGCATACTGGTATTATAATATCATATTAGCATATGTGAATAGCAATTAAAGAAACCACTCACCATTTCTCCAGTGTAACAATTCCACAGTCAACAGTCCCTAACACAAATGTACATCACAATAGTGATGTTTGTCTTCTTCTTCGTTGGAGTTTTACGGCAGTTGGCATCCATAGTGTTGCATTACTGCCATCTGCTGTCTCACTTTAACTTACTATATCTTAATTAAATTCGTCCTTCCAGTCCAGTCCTCCTTAGAAAATTAAACAAATATCTCCGTCCTTGGTCACTATTTCCATATGTTACTATATTTTTAACATTAAACTCTACTATACCTATTTCCCGTAGCTAATTCTTGAATAGTGATGTTTGATTCTTCTTCTTCTGTTTTATGGTGGGTAGCACCAGCGTTAAGGTGCATTATCGCCACCTTCAGTGTTGGAGTGTGGACCAAAGTTTACTCATTTCATAAAAGAAACCCTTCATTCTCTTTATCAGTTCTGTACTTTTGAGATAAAGAAATAAGCTCTCTAATCCATAAGTGATTATACTTTTTTTAAGCTTTATTCCTTCCACTCCCACCTTTCTAAGTTCCTTCTTCATTGTTTGTTTTTCATTAAAATACTTTTGACAAACACATAGATGTTCCACTGACTCCTCTTGTGGCAAACATAGAAATCATGATTATAACTTGTACCCCCCCCTTAAAAAAAAGTAGAGATGCATGTCAGGTTTTGTTTTATTATTGTTTTATTTACTGTTATTTTATGTACAACTATTCATTTATTTTGATTCAAGGGCATTGTGAAAGACACATAGCACTATCAGGCGCAAGTGGGGCAGCTAGAAAAAGTTTTGGGGTCCTGAACATTCTGCGGTGAGCAAGAGAGATGTGCCATGTTTGTGCTCCGTTTTGTCTTCACTTGTTTTGTTTATTAAAGATGAACCTGATCTTCATTTCATTACGCTTGTCTATAGTCTCGTATTTCAAGTGTTACTCACACTGTGAGGATCACAGTATGAGGATAGTTTGAGTTCACAATGAGCTCATGTATTACTCACACCGTGAGGATCACAGTATGAGGATTGTGTGAACTCACAATGATTTCATATAGTACTCACACCGTGAGGATCACAGTATGAGGATCGTGTGAACTCACAATGATTTCACCTATTACTCACACCGTGAGGATCACAGTATGAGGATCATGTGAACTCACAATGATTTCACCTATTACTCACACCGTGAGGATCACAGTATGAGGATCATGTGAACTCACAATGATTTCACCTATTACTCACACCGTGAGGATCACAGTATGAGGATCGTGTGATGTCACTGTGATCATCGCATGATCTCACGTGTTGACTGGGTTACGTTGTTCCATCCAAACCTGTAAACCGTTCTTGGGGGGGAAAAAAAAAAGATATTTTGAAGAATGTTGGAAACCAAACAGTTTTGGTGGCAATTGACTTTCACTGCATGGCAAAAAAAAAAACTGTTTTGTGTTCTGCAGAAGAAAACAAGTCTTATAGGTTTTGAACAACTTGAGGGTGAGTAAATTAAAACAGAATTTTCATTTTTGAGTGAACTATCAGTTAAAAGTGCATGCAAACACACTTACCAAGAAACATAAATCACATTATAATCCATTCTTAGGATACTTCCAGAAAGACTGCAATTGTGTGTGTTTAAAAATGTTTCTAGTAGGCCCATAAACTATTTTTCTGAGTGTAATTTATTTAATTAGTCCCTATTATTTTGTGGTCTGAAAACTCAGGATCTCTAACCAGGATCCTCAGAAACAACAAGCAACACATTTGCATTTCAATTTGTCAATAGTAATTTGAACAACTAGTCTCTTTGTCTCTCTGTGGTTGCTGCACTTAATAGGGATACTGCTGAATTTGAATTGTGGCCCTCACTGGCCTTGCTTAATCTCTCAGAATTCTCAACTGTGTGACAAACCAGCTGTGGTTTATATTTGTTTCAGCCTGAGAGTCTGGCCTGGGGAAATTGAGGACACACACACAGAGAAAAAAAAAACTGCTTATGGGAATACAGGACGCAATCCTGCCATTTGGGTAAGTCTTGGAATTTACCTTAGATTATATCTGACATTAGAGAGGATGTTTGAATAGAACAGACCGAGAGTGAAAACATACGGGTGAAACTGATATGCCCCTAGGGAGTTAAGGAGTATTGAACTACGTCCTAGATGTGCACTGTGAATGACTCTTTTGATGTTTTAAAGGTTCAGGATGTGTCAGGATGATATAAGCCTTTTATTTCAACCATAAGTTCTTGCATATGCAAAATCAATGCTGAGACACCATGTAGTATTTTTGGTGAATTTATTAATTCTGTGCTTCATAGTAAGCCACTGAGCTGTTTGCTTGTACCTGCAGATGCCATATAAATGTGTTCTTTAATAACCTTTGAATTGCATGTAAATCAAAAGAAAAATATACTGTATCTGCATCCTAGGTTTTGGGAAGAGTGAGCTCAGGGTCATGAAGTTAAAGCTGCCTTACAACAGCCTTGTGCTTATGATTCTACTGTGAGGGCTCTGTGTGCTTCTTTACTGCATTTTTAAAGTGAACATAGAAATTTTCACACAAGATGTACTACAAAACAAAACACAAACCTGGTCTTTTATATGATGTGTCCCTGAGTCAGACTGACACAGACAAGAACAGTTCTTAATGTTCTCGCAATCTCTTTTTTCCTTTGATTTTATATTTTTCCCTCTTCAAAACCTTTACAAAATAACAATGTTACTTTCAGCACATATAGCTAAAAATGGCATTCACAACTCACATTTGTGTTTTATTAGGTGGAAGAATTTTATAGAGGCTTGTAAAATAATATATTGTGAGCAGACCAGGTGTTAACTGGTTAATAATATATGCAAACAGTCAGAGGCGGACAGTAACTAAGTACATTTACTTGAGTATTGTACTTAAGTACACTTTTTGAGAATCTGTACTTTACTTGAGTATTATTTTTTCTGGGAACTTATGACTTTAACTTCATGGTAAAAAGTAGAAAGTCGTTACTATGTAGCAGCTTTGAAAGTCAGTG